GACGGCCGCCGGCCGCGCTTGACAGCGGCCCGCGGCCGGCGGCCAGCCGCCCGGAGACGGCGTTGGCGGAGACACTGGGGCCGGGGGGGGGGGGGGGGACGTAATGGTGGAGACGCTGGGGTGACGGAGACGTTCGGGCTGTGCGCTCGCAGAAACGGTGGTGGGGACTGCGTTCTGATGGAGACGACCCGGACCCGCACACTCGCGGAGACGCTGGCCGGGGGGGACGGCCTACTGGCGGAGACGCTCGAGCGTATGACACTAACGGGGACGCTGGGAGGGAGGGGGACGGCCCACTGGCGGAGACGCTCGAGCGTATGACACTAACGGGGACGCTGGGGAGGGAGGGGGACGGCCCACTGGCGGAGACGCCCGAGCGTATGACACTAACGGGGACGCTGGGGAGGGAGGGGGACGGCCCACTGGCGGAGACGCGTAAGGGCGGCGCGCTGGCGTGTGGCGGGGATGGTTTGGAGCCGCAAGGCGACTGTAGCAGAAAAAAGCATTGTTTTTCCATTTCGTTTGCTTACGCACAGGAACGCGACTTTTACGTGCGAATTAAACCAGACAGTTAATAGATGCGTGGCATCAAATCAATTTTCCGGAAAAGTATTTCCGCTGAGCTCGCACATACTCATGCAATAATCTATGTGCATGTTTTATTCACGGACAAGTAAATGCGTACGAGCGCATGTCCATTGTAAATAAGATTATGCAATCATTGCCAACTGACTGCATACAAAAGCGGCCTAGAAGGACAGGTCAAAGGTCGCGGAGAGAGCTGGGGACACACATTCAGAAGGGGCTAATAGGCAAACGGGGCTGGGGTAAAATGCCTCGGATTGAAGTGCGCGTGGAGAGCCATCATGGACCACCTGGGAGTGGGACTGGACTCGGAGCGCGACCGAACCAGGTCAATCGTACACAGGTCTCGGACAGCAACTGGTTTGCATGGGACCGGAAGCCCCACACAATGGCGCTCGTTCCAGAAAGCGGCGCGATCCCTTATTACGACAGGGAAATATTCAAAACGGAGACAGACGTAATGATCGCAATTTCGCATCCATGGACGTCCGAAAACGGCGGCGCGACGCACTACGCATACAGATGAAAACCGTTGTCGAGCCCACCACTTCTTGGTGCGGGTACAGGTTGCATGTAGAATGAATTGCTCCGCCGCCAAGCGATGTCGTAGAAGAAAGTGGGGTTACGGAATGTCAAGTTTAGAAATAGCTCTTTTTCGTGACCGCGGACACCGCGTGGTGGCCCATGCGGTGGTGATTGGTTACGAGCGCAGCTCGGGTGCGCACGTGACCTACGCGCACCGTCTGCTTAAGTTACGTTGAGAAAATTAAAACACCATTAGCAAGCCAAACAATAACTGGTTGGAAAACACCCTCGGGCAAGTGAATTCGACAGGAAATTGACATCATTCGTCGAGATTGATAAAGTTGTTGGGCGTAACGATCACCCATAACGAGGGGAACATCTAACGGGTCACCACTGCATACTACCGCAGCCGGAGGTCGTGACAGGCCCGACGCCACTGCATGCTACTGCAGCCCGAGAGCAGGATAGGCCCAATGCCACTGCATACTACTGCACCCGGAGGTCGTGACAGGCCCGACGCCACTGCATCCTATTGCAGCCTGAGAGCGGGACAGACCGGACACCACTGCATACTGCTGCACGCGGAGGGCGAGACGGGCCCAGCGGACCGGGCCTTCCCCAGGTGGACGGGGAGGAGACAGAGGTTCGAACACCGGCAGAGTTCCAGGCAAGGTCACCGCTGTCACTCTGGAAGATGGTCCGCGCACGTGATAAAAACGGTAGGCGGCCGACGCGGCGCGGTCGGTCAGATGACCCCATATGCTTCTCCGAGCAGATGGTGGTGATGTGCTGGCGAGGAGACTGGCACTGGATGCGTACATCCGGACTGTATTTATCCATGGATACCCCTCAGTGAGAGCGTGATAGCATACGTCATGCGGCGGTGGCAAAGGCTGGTGACGCAAGCGTCCCACTGGCGTGTGCTGGACGCGCCCCTGTCACCGGTGCCGCCACCGAACCAGACGGGGCCGGCCGGCCGCGGCGCCTCTGACGGCCGCAAAAACTAGCCGCGCTGGACTGGTGCCGCCGCGGCGCCGTGACCAGTCCAGACGTCACGTGCCGCGCCACCGCTGCCGATCCGTGACGTCAGCGGCGCCTCGGCGGGCGTGACGGCGTGACGGCGTGACGGGCGCCGCCGCACCGGACCTTCCCGGGCGGCGGCGAGCGCCGGCCGGCCAGCGGCGCGGGGGAGGGCGACCGCAGACCGCTGGCTCGCGCCGCCCCGGCGACGACGGCGCCGCCAGCGCCGGCGCGGGGGCGAGTCGCTACCGCGCTCCGCTGCGCCCCAGGACGGCTGCTGCTGACGTCAGCTCGCCGCCGCCAGCTCGCCGGCTGCCGGCCGATACGCGGCCACCTGATGGCCGCGGAGGCGGCCGGCAGCCGAGCGTGGCGGCGGCGGCTGATTTATCCCCGTCTCGGCCGGCGGGGCGCTACCCGGCGGCCGGCGGCGCGCCAGAGGGTGCGGCTGACCTCCATATCAACATATTGCGGCGCCGCGGCGCGGCGCGGCGCGGGGCGGCGCGGGGTGACCGCGGCCGCCGGAATAAAGCGGAGCGATCATCGCCCGAGGTGTGGCCGGGAAGGCGAGCCGACAGCCGGCCGGCGCCGTCGCTGAATTCCTCGGACGGTTTCGGTCGTAATTCCGTCAGCGACCGCGCCCCGCGCCTCTGCGCCCCGCCCCGCCCTCCCCCTCGGAAGCCGGCCGCACGCGGCCAAACTTCGCCGGCGCCAATCAAATCAGCGGGTCGACGGCCACCCCCACATCCGTCAGTGGCCTGTGGCCGCGCCGGGGAGCGGCTCCCGGCCGCAGCCGCCGGCCTCGCATGGCCGGGCCGCCGCCGCCGCCACCGCCGCGGACGTGGCCGGCGTGCTATCGGCGGCGGCGGCGGCGCCCAATCAATACGTCTCCCCCGCATGCGGCGCGGCCGCCATGGGAGGCGGCGGCGGCCGACAGGTGCGGCCGTTCCGGCGGCCTCGCCGCGCCGCAACCGCCGCCGCCGCCAGGCGGATTTAATTTGTAACCTTTGCCGGGCGGGGCGGCAGGATCGCGCGCGGCCATTCATATATCAGGCGAGGCTGACCCCCGCGTGGCGCTAATGGGTCCGGGTCGCCGCCAGCCTGGCCCGTCACGGTCCGGGCAAAGGTCGCCGGCAGCGGCCCGGCCGGCGCGCCGCCCACACAACAGGCGGCGACGGCCGGCCGGCGCGCCACAATTACGGCCGCCGCTGGGATCCGGCGGCGGCCGTCGGCTCGTCACGCCCCGTCGCCGCCGGCGCGGCGGCGTCGGCCGGGCTCGACCGCCGACCACGGCACGGCACGCCACGCCACGGCACGGCACGGCCGGCGGGGGGGGGGGGGAGGACGGCGCGGCCGGCCTGCCGCCGCCGGCGCGGCCGACGCCGCCCGTCGCTGATGATGTCCGGGCGCGGGCCGGCTGGCTCGGGTAACGCGCGTCGCCGGAGGGCCACCGCGGTGGCCTCAGTGGCGACACGCCGCGCGTCTGCTGCGCAGTTGCGTCACCCCGCCGCGCTCGGCCGCGGCTGCACCTGACCGGCCCGAGCCGAGCGGCGACGGCGGCGGCGGCGCCGGCGGCGGCGGCGGTGGCGGCAACGGCGGCCCCAGCCCGCACACAAATCCGCCCAGCGGCCGCACCGGGAGGTGATTCATCTCGGTCGGCGACGGCGGCTCGGTGCCGGCCGCAGCGGCGGCCGTCGTCACCGCTGGGGCCGGACGGGGGCGGGGCGGGGGCGAGGCTGTCGTCAGAGCGCTGTCGAGGTCCGGGTGCGGTCGCTCTCGCTGTCGAACGGACGCCGACGGCGATGGTGTCGTGCCGGTCTTCATCAGCAGCGATGGGATGAGCTTTGGACGGGAGGACGCCTCGTCAGACGCCGGGGCGTCGCCGAGAGGGCTCATCGTCTCGCCAGACGCCGGAGCGGACGCCGACGGCGCCCGTGCTGTCTCGTCACGGTCCGAGACGGCTCTCCGGCCCGAGCGACGGTCTCCTGGCCTAGCCTTGTCTCGTCTAGTCTCTTCTGTCTCGTCTTGTCTCCCCCGTCTCGTCTCGTCTCTCCCATCTCGTCTCGTCTCGTCTCGTCTCCCCCGTCCCGTCTCCGTCAGACGCGCGCGCCGCTCCGCCCTCCCAAGTCCGTCAGTCACCACCCGGCGGCCGGCAGCGCCCCCCGGCTCACCGAGGTGTGGCGACGGACCATTTCACGGCGGAGCGTCCGGTTTCGTCGGAGCGTTTCACTTTCGGGGCGGCGGCGAGCGCGGCGCCGGCAGACCGAGCCCGGGCGCTCGCTGCGGGGTCTGGCCGCGGCCCAGCCGCCCCGCTGGGAGGAGCGCCGCTTCGGCGGGGGCGCGCCACCATCCCCACACATCTCCGGTGGATCAAGCTTTGATGGCGCCATTGGATAAATTGGCTTGCGCGGAGGAGCCGCCCGGCCGCAGTCGCGTCGGATTTACACTCGAAAGGAGCCCCGGGTACGTGGAGCCCACCGAAGGACCAACACGCGCCCGGAAGAAAGCACCGAGTAGCGGCCGCCGCACGTGCCAACGGCCGTCTGAAGTGACGGACCGTCCCGTGCAGACAGCCCACCAGGACCTGGCCAGTCGTCTCGCGCGGCTGGCCGCAGGTTTGTTACGCCAGCGACAGGAAAATCTATTCCACGTCACTTGCGCGTAATGCAGCTTCTGGGTACGGAACTGCAAAGGGCAGACACGATGTGCGTGACAAGTGTGCACCGTTCGCCGACACACGGCGGGCCGTGATCCTGTCAGCACCGCGGCGCCCATGCGGGTGGGGCCTTGGCACCGGGTCAAAGCGTCACACCGGACCGCGCCCAGGACCACAGCCACCCGACAGCGGCCAGCACCCCCGAGACGGCACCCACCTGGATACAGGAACATGCCGCTCTGCGTGGGCGGCGGCGGCGGCGGCGGCGGCGGTGGCAGCGCGGGCGGCTGGGTGAACATGGCGGCCATGTGGGCGGCGGGCGGCGGCAGGGCGGCGGCTGCGGCGCGGAAGTCCATCACCAGAGGGCGGCTCAGAGGGATGCGCCGGCGGCCCCCGTCACGGACATGGCTTCGCGACGATCGGCGGCCACTCCCGCGCGAGACCTGGCGACGGACGGGAGCGACACGTCAGGCCGCTGGCGTGGTCGGAGTCGACGCTGTCACAACTGACCACGACGCGATGAGCGGGACGTGACTGGAAGCGTCACGGCCAGCAGTGACGCTCTCACGGCTGGCTGGAATAGCATAGTGAGCGCGACCTCACGGTGACAGCACAGCCGGCGGGACATCCTCAATTCATGACCTCCCGACGCAAAAAATGGACACGTCAGGGACAGGCACCGTCACAGATGGCGAGGACAGCCTGACCGCCAACTGGGACACACGGCGGGCGCGTTGTGGTCCCGAAAACACTCCGGCACTCGTCACGTAATGATTCCAAACCGCCTACCTCAGGCGTCTGACGCGCCGAGGAGAGCACCGACCAAACCGGGAAAACAGAGCCCTCCACATGCGACGCACCGCTGCACATCCAGCGTCCTGCCTCTCCTCTGCCTCTCCTCTCCGCACGAGACGCCCGGCTCGCCGCCAGCCAACGCGCCAGCAACCGCGCCGCCGTCAGCGAAGCCAGAAAACGCCGGCGGGCGCAGGCGGCCGCGGTCAGCGGCGGCTCAGCGGCCGCAGCCGTCAGTGCCGCGCGGACATAAACCACGTGCGTCTGGGCCAAACGGCCCCGCCGCGCCGCTGACGCGCGGCCGGCGCGATAACGCCGGACGGCCGCCCATAACTCGCCGCGGACGCGCCCGTCGTGCCGGCGACCGCGCGCGCCGCCGCCGGCGCGGCGCCGCCGCTGCAACACGTGGGCCACGTGCCACGGGCGCGCCATGGGCGGGCGGCGGCCGCTGTCGGCGGTGGCGGCTAATGGACGAGCGGTGGCGCGGCGCTCATTAGGGACAATGCCCCGGGCGGCGGCCGGCGATAGTCGGCGCGATATGCAGCCGCAGACCGGACGGGACCTGCCAGCCCGGACAGACCAGACGGGACCTGCCTGCCCGGGCCGGACCGGACGGGACCGGATGGGACCTGCCAGCCCGGGCAGACCGGGCGGGACCGGCCAGGTCGGGCAGACCGGACGGGACCGGACGGGACCTGCCAGCCCGGGCAGACCGGACGGGACCGGACGAGACTTGCCAGCCCGGGGCAGACCGGACAAGACCTGCCAGTCCGGGGCGTCGGCTGCCGAGGCCGCGGCCAGCGCCCGGCCGCAACCAGTCATAATGCAGGAGTTAGTCAGAGCAGAACGGCAAAACAGCCAGGGCCTGGGCGGTGCGGGAAGTTACGGGGCGCGCCGGTCGGCTACAGCGGAGGCGAGTCCCGTCCGTCGGCCGGCGCCAGGGGGAGCGCTCGCCGACTGATTGGATTCGGCCCGGTTTACGTCGGCCCCGTCGGCGGCGCCGTGAGGCTCGTCAGGATGGCGGCAGCCACCCTCCGCCATATTGATTGTCAGGGGAGCGACCGACGAGCGGGGCACGCACCGACTGATAGGTCACACAGCAGCCGGCGGCAGACTGCCACACTGCAGCCGGCGGCGGACTGGCACACTGCAGCCGGCGGCGGACTGCCACACTGCAGCCGGCGGCAGACTGGTACACTGTCACACTGCAGCCGGCGGCAGACTGCCACACTGTCACACTGCAGCCGGCGGCGGACTGCCACACTGCAGCCGGCGGCAGACTGCCACACTGTCACACTACAGCCGGCGGCGGACTGCCACACTGCAGCCGGCGGCAGACTGTCACACTGTCACACTGCAGCCGGCGGCAGACTGCCACACTGTCACACTACAGCCGGCGGCGGACTGCCACACTACAGCCGGCGGCAGACTGCCACACTGTCACACTGCAGCCGGCGGCGGACTGCCACACTGCAGCCGGCGGCAGACTGCCACACGGTCACACTGCAGCCGGCGGCGGACTGCCACACTACAGCCGGCGGCAGACTGCCACACTGTCACACCGCAGCCGGCGGCGGACTACCACACCGCAGCCGGCGGCCGACTGCTACACTGTAGCCGGCGGCAGACTGCCACACTGCAGCCGGCGGCGGACTGTCACACTGTCACACTGCAGCCGGCGGCGGACTGTCACACTGTCACACTGCAGCCGGTGGTGGACTGTCACACTGTCACACTGCAGCTGGCGGTGGACTGTCACACTGCAGCCGGTGGTGGACTGTCACACTGTCACACTGCAGCCGGCGGTAGACTGTCACACTGCCACACTGCAGCCGGCGGCGGACTGTCACACTGTCACACTGCAGCCGGCGGTGGACTGTCACACTGTCACACTGTAGCCGGCGGCGAACTGTCACACTGCAGTCGGCGGCGAACTGTCACACTGCAGCCGGCGGCGAACTGTCACACTGCAGCCGGCGGTGGACTGTCACGCTGTCACACTGCAGCCGGCGGTGGGCTGTCGCACTACGGCCGGTAGCAGCCAGTCTCAGTACCACCAGAAGCGTTTTTCACGCAATGACTTGGTTTTGGCACTGGAGCGGGCTGTTAGCCGACCGAACCAACCATATCGGTACATTGGAGAAACGAAACGCCCACAATGTACATGCTAGCATCCGCAGTCGGAAAACGGATGTGGTGATGAGCTTGCGGCTGGGGCAAGACCGTCAAGACCGTATACGACTTCAGTGCTCTCAAGCGGAGTTACGGACCCGGACGAGACAGTCGTAGCACCCTCACGAGCACGTTCCCGGAAAACAACGGAAAATCCGACACATCTGGCATTGAAGTCTTCGCGATGGGGTCTGAGACGCGTTGGTCCAACGATGAGGGTCTGAGATGCGTTGGTCCAACGATGAGCGTCTGAGACGCGTTGGTCCAACGATGCCAGGAACGAGAGAAGCTCCGGGTGAACACGTTCTCACAAGCGGAAGAGAGGGTCACGACGCTTCCGGCTCGCAACATTGGCAAGCTAAAGCTGTGTTTAAAAAAAAAATTGGTCGCATATTTATGTGAGAGGACATGCAGGGCGGACTGTTCATGCTTTCTGGAAGCCGTATCGACTCTGACTCTGACTCCGACACATAAAACTCATTCCTGCCCCGATTCTGGGCAGCTCAGAACAAAACAGAGTCGACTGTGGGTTCGACTCGAGGAAAAGTGAATTCGCGCCGGAATCAGTTACGACAGTCCACTCCGCCGGCAACAGTTACGACAGTCCACTCCGCCGGCAACAGTTACGACAGTCCACTCCGCCGGCAACAGTTACGACAGTCCACTCCGCCGGCAACAATTCAGGAAATAGACCGTTTTACAGTCTTCATAAATCCCACCGAGGTTTTGACAAGACATCTATATGTGACTGCGTTCCATCTGACTTACCCTCAATGGAAATTTGCTTGATTCTAAAGTTGGTTCCGAGCCCACACGCAGCCAAGCGTCAGACACTGACAAGACAGAACCCGCCCAGACAGGACCAGACAAGACAGCACCTGACGAGAAGGACTCGAGGAAATTGAAACTGACAAGACATGGCCCAGAGAGACACGTCCTGGCGGGATAGAAGAACCTGACGAAACCGAGCCAGCCGCGGCGGGACTTGGCGCAATGGATACTCCGGCAAGACGGACAGGGGACCCCTGCTGGTCTCAAATAAGGACCATGTGTGAAAGACTGGCACAGATCCGATATAAGGAGCCCATTCCAGGACCCTGAGCAGCACCGCGGGCCTCCTCCTATCGCGGGGTCCCTCTGGCAAATGTTCGCTCACCACGCTCGGCAAAATCCTGGCCACGTGCCTGCCCTGACGTCATAATTCTCGTATGCGACTAATCACGCTCAATGGGCATCAGTCCGCTCTGCTCCCCGCAATAATCGCGACCACTCAGCTGAAGCCCTCAATGACCGGGATATTCTACGCCTGCCCGGAGTTGATGGTCGGCGACAGCGGCCACCGCCGGGTTAGCCCGACTACGTGTCCGGACGTGGCCGGGCGGCACACTGCCGCGAAGCTCTGCCCCTCCCCACCGCTGCAGGCGCCGCCGCCGCACGCGCCGCCGACCGCGACTCGCCACAGGCGGCGTCCCCCCCCCCTCCTCCGCCCCCCCCCCCTCAGCACGCGCCGCCGCCGTCCGCGGCCGACCAACGGCGACAGCGTCACGCAAAAACTGGGCGGGCGGCGGGCGACAGCTGACGGGCGGCGGCGGCGGCGGCGGCGCGGTCGGTCGGCCCGTGTTTACCGCCGGCGCCGCCTCACACCTGCCCCATCCGTCAGCGTCCGGCGGCGGCCGGCGCGGACGCCTATCGACCGCGGCGGAGCTGACGTCAGCGCCGCCGCCGCCGCCGCCGCCGCCGCTGACAGCCGCTGACCGGCGCTCTCGCCTGACGCCGGCCGGCTCGAGCGGCGCCGGTGACGGCGCGCCGCCGGCTGCCGCCGCCGGGGCCGCCGGGACGCGCCGCCAGCTGCGGTGACGCGCCGCCAGGTGGCGGCGTCGCGCGACGTCGCGCGCAGGCGCGCCCGCCGGAACGGCGCCCGCCGCCGGCGCCGCCCGGGCGATAGCCGCTGCGCGCGCCCGGCTGCATAATGTGCGGCGCCCCGCCCGTCCGGCGCGACCCCCCGCGGCGGGCCGGCGCGCGCCTCCGCCCCGCAGCCCGTCCGCCTGCTCCGCACGTCCGTCCGTTTGTCAGGCGGGTCGTCTTGGTGCGCGGCTCGGGGGAGACTCCGCGCGCTCGTCTGTGCCGCAAACGCAACCATTTAGCTGCTCGTCGGTTCTGCCGCGGCTTTCGGTGGCGCGTCCGGCGCGGCGCGGCCCGGTCGGCCCGGCGCCGCCTGTGCGGCGGTCGGCCCGGTGCGTCCGCTCCGCGTCGGGAGCCGGACGGCTGATTGGTGCGAGCGCCAACCGAGGCCGGCGGCCGCCCGCCGCGCCGCCCGTCCCCCATTACCCGGCCGGCGGCGCCGCCCGAGCGGCTGCCTTCCGGACCTCCCCCGGAGCGACGGCCGGGCAGAGGGCGGGCGCGCGCCACCAGCGCGCCGATCGCCAGGAATTCGGCCGGGCCCGTCTTTCACGCCGGCTGGTGGCTGGCTGGTCGCCGAGCCTGGCGCGGCTCGCCCGGGCTCAGCGCCCGGCGCCTGTGATGAGGCGGAAGCGATGCGACGTCGGCTGGCGGCGAGCCGGGCGGCGGCCAATCAGCGCCCTGGTATCGGGGGCGTGATGGATGCTGATTGGACGGCGGGCGCCCGACTGGCGAAAGTTCACCTGTTTTACCGTCCGACGGCTTGACAATGAGCAGCGCGGGGGAGGGCACGCACGCGATTCCACCATCGTTCGACTCCGCACGCGCCGAGCAATTGTAGAATTGCACGGCCCCGGCGGCGGGACACCATTTTTAGTTCTTCCATCCCGTTGCTTCTGGTGTTATCCATCCAGTCAACGCCAGTGGGGCCAATTAAAAATTCTCCAAAAGTTGCGGTCTCAGCTGCTCTTGCCCCTCCCCCTTCGCCACGGGAGATGGAGGCGGAGGACCAGGTGATCAGAGCCATAGAAGGGCTGAACCCGACCCAGCATCTAGCTACTAGACGTCGCCGGTTCAATATCTTGAGGTCGGGACAACCCAACGCGTGTTTTGCGGCTGACTATCGTGATAAAAGAAAACACATCCTCGTGCCGAGATTTTAGAAGCGCAACGGTTTTATTTCATCAGTCTATGGGCTTCGCGTGTCAACATTGAGCCGCGCACGCAGCCAAGCTGGAAGAACCAGGTTCTCTATAGCAGTCAAAATATCCTAGCGGACCTTTTGACGGCGGTACGTGCCGAAGGCAGACCACGCACAGCCGCAGGCGCCCAACGCCGCTGACTGGATAGACAGCGTGGGGTTCGGGACAGGGTGGGAGTCGACACCAGCTCGCAGCCCCCTACGCGATGGGAAGCGGCGCAGGTGACAGCCCCATCTTTGGACCCAGTGGCGGTGTTCCCAGCGAAGCCCCAGTCTATTTTCACCGCGTGGAGTGCCTTACATTATCAGAACGAGCAATAACAACATCGACGTTGTAATGCATCATCTCATTTGGCTGAGGCAGACGTGCCGGAGGCAGCAACGTGCGAAAGGCCCGCCACCACTAGTGGGCAGGGCAGCGCGTCAGGGCCTTTCCAGCAAATACAACCACACGCGGATGACACGACTGGGACTTATCCCACTCGCTCTGACGCTCAGGTACCCATCAGTGCAATAAGCGTCCATGATATACGTAGCAAGGAGAGCGTGGCTGGCCCCTTGGGCCGCTCATCGTGTGCCCAGCCCTCAACATCCAAGTGTCTGCACGCATGAGCGTGAAAACACGTGGATGAAGGGGCGAGGGCCACGCCCCTCCGCAACTTTTCACAAACGTTAACCCACAGCGATGCATGGAACTCAGCTGACCGAGCGGGAATTGGCCGCTCGGTGTTGGTGCCGCTGGCCTGGTGCCCCGGCCTGACCTGGCGGCTGACCGGCCGCCTCCCGCGCTGGGTGATGGTGCCGCTGGCACGCCCCGGCCTGACCTGGCGTCTAACCGGCCTCCTCCCGCGCTTGGTGCTGGTGCCGCTGGCCTGGTGCCGCGGCCTAACCTGGCGGCTGACCGGCCGGCTCCCGCGCTCGGTGGGATGACCTCTCATCACCCATCAGACCACCTCTCATCTGGTTATCTCATCAGGCCTCTCATCGGCCATCAGGCCAGCTGGCCAAGGCGTGCCCGTTAAAGGCGTGCAGTCACGAGCGTTCACACGGGTTTACCGTCACCCGCAGCGCGCCCGCAAGTGTGACATCGCAGCCGTATGCTATTCCAGCGCGAGACGCACGACGCGTCCAACACGTTTTCACACTCAACTACACTGGACAGAACACACATGGGCCACGTGCCGCAAACGACACGCCTGCATCAGACGTTCGGGATATTCGGAGCGTATGCACGGAACCGTGCGAAGCGTATACTTCCGAACATGCAACACGTGACCGTACGACCCGTCTTCGCATTATAGGTCCACGTACCACAAACGAACTTCGAACTTGCCCGGCACATATATACTGGGCTGCACGGCACATATCACACGTTACGACACGCCAAGCTCCCCACGTCGCATGGCACGCGTACTTCAAAGTGTACTGTGCGTACATATCGGGATATACAACGTACAATCATCGGGCCAAACGACACGTACGCATGGCACCGTACGGCACGCTTACATCAAACTGTACGGAATGTGCACACCCCACGATTGGTCACGCATGCATCCGATCATACAACACGTGTGCCGCAAGACGCACGCATATGCACAGCGCCGTAACAAACGTAAAGAAAAGTCACGCGACACGTGCACTGGGCGGCGAGACACGTGCACATCAAAACGTGCAACATACACACATTGGACTGTGCGACATGTTCCAAAAGGAATCGACAGTGCGCTTTCAACAGTCCACGCGCCACGAACATCCCAAAAAAACACAAACGTGACAGGTGCAGAGGAGTTGGCACAACGTGTTTTCATCGGAAACAACGACTACTGAAACGTGCCGCGCGTCGCATTACGGCCGAATTCTTCCAGCGTCATTCTAGTAATCCCCCCCCCCCCCCCACGCATAAACGTCCGCGGAGACCCGGCGCGCTTGTCCCAAGCCGGCTGCACTTGACACAAACCAGAGGGCCGAGGGGCACTGCGGCGCTGACCCGTGTAACCCGTCCCGACCGACGACGACGTGCGATACAACCCAGTGACGCGCTGTCACGAGTCCCAGCCGAAACACACACCACGCGCTGCCAGGCCCGAGCAGCACCTGGCCCCCTCCCTCACAGGACACGAGCACGGACCTGGGCGGGGAGCGGCCTTCACCGGTTCGCAGCGCACGTGTTCGCTCTGGCCGCGTCTCCCGGCGCTGGTCCCGGTCCGAACGACGTACCACTCCTCCGCGCCGACGTCTCCCCTCCCACCCCACCCTTTGTCTCACTCACCTCTCACCAGCGTCTGCGTCTGCGGCGGCGGCGGCGTCTGTGGCCTCTGCGGCGTATGCGGCAGCGACGGTGAGGCGGCCCTCCCTCGGCGCGTGCTGTCCCGACCGACCCGGGACGGCGACTGGCGGGCGGCAGCCGGGCAGCGGGCGCGCGGCGGCGCCGGGGCCGGCCGCCGGCCGCGCCGGCCGCGCCGGGCTCGCGTCAATTACACAACAACAATAAGCGACCGAGATCAATCGGGCGCGGGCGCGGCGGCGGGCCGCGCCGCCGCCGGCGCCGTAACGCGGTTAATTGGTTGGCGCCCGCGCCGCTAAAGGCGAGGGCGGGGCGCTGCAGCCGGCCGGGCGCGGCGGCACGACCGAGGGTCCGGTCGGCCCGGCTGCCAGCGAGGGCCCGACCGGCGCCGGGGCTGCACATGCCCTGGGGCCTCGCCGAGGTGTCGCGGTGGGAGGAGCGAGGAGGTGTGGGGGAGGGCGGGGTGTCAGATCGAGACGGTAGGCGGGGTGTAGGACGAGGCGGCGGGCCGAGCCGGAAATGCGAGCGTGAATCCGGAAGGAGGAAGCACGCGACGGGCCGGGACGGGCGGATGGCCGGTGCGGGCAGCGGCCTAACGGGGAAGCCCGCGGCGCAGCGGCTGGCGGCAGGAGACTGCCGGGAGAGCGTCAGGGGGAGATCAGGACGGAGGCGGGACGGAGACAGGACGGCGCCAGAGCGGAGCCAGGAGGAAACCAGGAGGCTGCATAGAGTCACGGAGAGACCAAGCAGATCTGGACGAAGCCAAGAGTAGCGACAGTAGGGACAGAACAGAGACGGGATGGAACCAGGAAAAGAGGCAAGATATATGTAGGGCTGTGCCGGTCAGGAGAGGGGCAAGGGAACCCAACATATAACCAGCGGAACTGGAAAAGATCCAAAAGGAATAGTGGACAAATAGTGAATAGTAGACAAAAAAGACTCGGGGGGGGGGGGGGCATGAGAAGTCAGGAAAAGACAATGCAGGTTCCACAAAGGCCGGGATATCGGAGCCCGGGTCTTGTGCCGGGAGTGCCGGACGAGGCTCCTCGGAGCCCGGGTCTTGTGCCGGGAGTGCCGGACGAGGCTGCTCGGAGCCCGGGTCCTGTGCCGGGAGTGCCGGACGAGGCTGCTCGGAGCCCGGGTCTTGTGCCGGGAGTGCCATACGAGGCTCCTCGGAGCCCGGGTCTTGTGCCGGGAGTGCCGGACGAGGCTCCTCGGAGCCCGGGTCTTGTGCCGGGAGTGCCGGACGAAGCTCCTCGGAGCCCGGGTCTTGTGCCGGGAGTGCCGGACGAGGCTCCTCGGAGCCCGGGTCTTGTGCCGGGAGTGCCGGACGAGGCTCCTCGGAGCCCGGGTCTTGTGTCGGGAGTACCGGACGAGGCTCCTCGGAGCCCGGGTCTTGTGTCGGGAGTGCCGGACGAGGCTCCTCGGAGCCCGGGTCTGTGCCGGGAGTGCCGGACGAGGCTCCTCGGAGCCCGGGTCTTGTGTCGGGAGTACCGGACGAGGCTCCTCGGAGCCCGGGTCTTGTGTCGGGAGTGCCGGACGAGGCTCCTCGGAGCCCGAGTCTTGTGCCGGGAGTGCCGGACGAGGCTCCTCGGAGCCCGGGTCTTGTGTCGGGAGTACCGGACGAGGCTCCTCGGAGCCCGGGTCTTGTGTCGGGAGTGCCGGACGAAGCTCCTCGGAGCGCGTCGACCGCGCAGGACCCGGCTAAGCCGAGAGAAGGGGCATGTCGGTCGGTAAAGCCGATGGAAAGGTCATGTTGACCCACAGGAGCTGGTATTCCTAGCCAAGTGGAGCGTGTTGTGAGACGCCGAGGGAAGTGCAGGACGAGATTTGTAAGGCTGAAGAGACTAAAGAAGGAAAGACGCATATTGCGAAGAAGCCAAAGGACGGCAAATGACAGCCCAAGCTGGGGCCGCTGGATTTTATCTTACCGGGATGGGAAGTTCGGGGAATTAACAGCTGCATGTCGAGCGATTGCGCACCTTTCCCATCAACCCGAAGCTCATCACACATGCTGTGCGAAATGCGAGGAATCTTCTGTTTTGACTGCATTGCACAAGCTGCTCGGAATTTGCGGTGCCGAACCCATCAATAAGTTCATTGAAAAGGCTCCGTCGCCTTCTGTCGCGTCGCTCTGCTGTCTTGAAACTCGCGAGGAGCGCGCGCTCCAAGAGCAGCCGCACCTCATGACCGAGAGCACTCCCACAACGGAGGTGATTCCGCACCGGTAGCCGGACTATTGCGGCTCGCATGCCGCCGGCGGCGCGGGCAAGAACATTTTCATTAACCAAATCGTTACTTCGTAATTCAAGTTAACGACGGAGATCGTTCAACACGCGCGGATGCCAGTCGTGCCGCAGGCGCAGGGCCGTCATCACTTCGCGCACACGGGCAGTTTCACTGCCGAGTTTTACCGACTACGGCGCCAGTAAAAAATGGGCCAGTCGGGTGACTCACACGGCTGTAAAATCGACGGCGTAATCCCCGACATAACCGCGACGGGCCCGGCAACATCGAGCCGCCCACTGTGGCAGCTCCCGAGCCGCCACGGCACAGATAATGCAACCGATGTTCCGTTTCACCGGCGACAGTGTCAACAATAGCGCCAGTCAGCATGTGTCATCGGAGGTCACACACCGTGGCCGGCGCCCGCGAGATTAAACCCACAGGGGAAGTAACGTCAACAGCCGGAGGCCGAGCCCCCCCCCCCCCCCCCAGCTTGGAAGCAGGCCGCCTCGTGGGGTCCTGGCACCACCACGACCCCCCCCCCCCCCCTCCCCCCCGCCAACGGCGCCAGGTCAGACGGTCTGGTGAGCGCCACGCGGCGCTCCAGCGCCGGCCAGACCATGCGGCGGGTTTCACGTGAGTGCGCCTCGAAGCACGCGCCGCGGAATACCGGATGTCCCGCTCTCGCTCAGGTCCAGCTGTCCGGTTCATGAGCGGCCCAGACCCACCCCCAAGGCGGGTGGGATATCACCGACGCCTCTGCCTAGCACGTGTCGTCTGCACATGACTCCGGAACCCACGCTTAGCCAAGTGCGATGTCCTTTGCTCAATTCTCAAAGCAGACAGGGCCCCACGAGAACCTACTGCGCACCGCACGCTGACCCCGACCCCGGCCTCTGACGGGGACGGGGTCCCACGAGGTCCCATCGCGCGCCGCGTGTCCGCCGTGCCCGGGGCCCGGCGCGGCCGGGCGGCGGCGGCATGTCCGCGCCTTTGTGTGCAGGCGCCGCCGACCTTATCTCGGCCGAGATCTAATTTCGGTGGCCGGCTGGGGCGCGGCGGACGCGCCGCTCGGCCGACCGCCGCCAGCCGGTCCCGGGCGATAACGCCAGACGGGCGCGCCGTCCGGCCGGCTGGCGGCCGGGCGAGCGCCGCCCGCGCCCGCGCCGCCCGCGCCCTCGCCGCCGCCACGCCGCGTCCCCCGCCGCCCGCGCCCGCGCCGCCGCCGCGCCGCCTGGCCGCCACACATGAAATAACAATTAATTCTGACCCGCCGACCCGGCAGGGGCGTCCGGGCGCATGTAAATCATCTGTTGTCGTCCCGCGGCGCCCATCGTCCGGGCGGGGTCACAGGGTCGCGGCCCGGGTCGCGGGCCATGCTAATCGGACGGGAATGAAGACGCGCCGCGCGGGGGCAAGGTCGCGGCGGGTCGGCGCGCCGCGCCCCCGGAACCGGGCACCCCGGCCGGCCGGGTCACGGCTGCCTCGGTTAGAGACGACACGCCCGGCCGTCGCCGCCCGGCCAGACGTCGGCGTTGAGTGCTGTGCTGGTGGTCAGCGGCACGCTGGTGTCGTGTCAGGGGCAGGAGGATTCGCTGGGGAGGCGATGAGGGGGCGGGGGGAGAAGGAGAAGCTGCGGGACTTCCGTTCTCTCGCGACCGCGAGACGAGAATAGACGGGACTGCAGCACCCGGAGCTTGCATGTGTCTTGGCTTGCCCGCTGGTTAATTTTTAGCGTCCGGCTTGCCCATCAGAATCTAGCCCGCATCAAGATATCATGCAGGGTCCGTGCCTGATGTGGGGCGCATGCAAATCTGCCCCCCCCCCTCCCCTCTCCCTCTACCATCTACCAGCTTATGACCTCAACTATCCCGAAAATCCTCCCGCCTCTTTTGTAAGCGTTCTGGCTGTGCTTCGCAGCACGAGCTCTCACGGCGGCCACGCACGGTCGGAGCCGGGCCCGCTCTGCCTCCGCCGGTCGGTCGGCTGGCCGCGGTGGCGGTCACCACCCCTGACCCGGCCGGTGTGTCGCGCCTCCGATCGGAGCTGGGCCCGCTCTGCCCCCGCCGGTCGGCCGGCCCGGCTGCGGTGGCGGTCACCACCCCTGACCCGGCCGGTGTGTCGCGCCTCCGATCGGAGCTGGGCCCGCTCTGCCCCCGCCGGTCGGCCGGCCCGGCTGCGGTGGCGGTCATCACCCTTGACCCGGCCGGTGTGTCGCGCCTCCGGTCGGAGCCGGGGCCCGCTCTGCCTCCGCCGGTCAGCCGGCTGGCCGTCGGCCCGGCCGCGGTGGCGGTCACCACCCCTGACCCGGCCGTGTGTGTCGCGCCTCCGGTCGGAGCCGGGCCCGCTCTGCCTCCGCCGGTCAGGCCGCTGGCCGTCGGCCCGGCCGCGGTGGCGGCTCACCACCCCCTGACCCGGCCGGTGTGTCGCGCCCCCTGAGATCTCCCTCGCCCGCCGGCTGGCTCGTGTGCTGGCAAAGCTCGCTGTGCTTGACGAATCTGGTTGGATGTTGCTTGACACAGACGTGCAGCCGAATTCTTAGCCGAGGTTTGAAATCGCGATTTGTAAGGGTCAGTCCAATTTGTCATAGCCCTGCTCGTTTGTTGATTATTTCAGCTTACTCGCGGCCATGAAGAAAAGATGAGTTGCTTGGAAAAAGGGTTTGCACAAAATCTTTTATGGGCTGCTTGCGGCGATGCGTAATGCTAAAAAGCGCTGCTAATTAATTATTTCCTGACCGATGGTGCTGCATTGTCTCCTCCAGGCCGGAAGTGGAACGAGGAAAATGCAGCAACGATCGAGTTTCTGCAAAATAATCCTAAACCGCAGCGTGGTAATCATGGCTCCTTCGATACACCTTTGTGAAA